GTGTCAATAGCGCTGGTGAGCCCACAGGGCTGCTGCCACCACCTCTGCCACTGGGTGTTTTGGGGCCAGGTCTCACACTGCTCATCCCCTACCTCTTGGGGCGCAAGAAGCGGTGGGGAAAGTGCAAAATCCGTGTATTTGTCGGCGGGCAGATCAACAGGATGGACGAGGAGAGGAAGGTGTAAGTGCCCCACAGCCCCTCGTAGCCACACAGCCACAACTGCTGTCCCCATGGGTGGGTGGCAGGAGCTGCTTTCCCCTCAAAACTCCTAGGCCTTTATGGTAACAGGAGCAGTAGGCTCTGACACGGCTGCTCTGCCTTGCCCCTCTGAAAATCAATGTGACTGTGGAGTGGGAAAACCCCAAGTGCATACTAAGGATGGTAGCAGGGCAGGTCCTGGGGCTGCTGTGCCCACTGATTTCTGGAAACAGTGTCCTTTTCCCTCTGGTAGGATTGTCTCTCTGCTGAGCAAGTTCCGCCTCGGCTTCCATGAGGTCCACATCCTCCCTGACATCAACCAGAAACCCCGGCCAGAGCAGTAACTGCCCCCTTCCCCTTCTTCCACCCTCTCCCCAGCAACACCAAACCCACCCAGACCCCCGGCACTGTCTGCTTGTCTTGCAGCATCAAGAGGTTTGATGACCTCATCGCTCCCTTCAGGCTAAACGATGGCTTCAAAGATGAGGCCATGGTGAATGAGATGAGGCAGGGCTGTCCCTGGAAGATTTCTGACGAGGAGGTTGATAAGAACAGAGTCAAGGTAGTAGTGCTTCTGGGGGAGCTTCCACAAAGGGTCTCCTGCTTTTGAGACAGAATTCAGGCTTTCTGGAACCGGTTTCTGCATTTCTCACCCCTCTGCTCTGCAGTCACTTCGACAAGTGAGGCTGAATGAGATTTTGCTGGATTACTCGCGGGATGCGGCGCTCATAGCCATGTAGGTACCATCAACAGCCTCCTGCCCCATGAAAATGGTCCCCCTGGATGTTCACTTCCCTTGGATTGATACCCCAACCTGCAGTAGGATGGTGGGGAGAACCCCTTGGAAGGCACTAAGAGGTCTGGCCTGGGTCCTGTCAGGGAGGAGGATGTGGTGTTGCCCTTTTTTAGGGAAATAACCTGCAAATTAGTGGTGGATGGAGAAGGGGACTAAAGATGGAGCCTGGATCCGGGGGGCATGCCTCACTGGCCTCTTGCTGTGCCACAGCACACCACCCATTGGCAGGAAGGGCTGCCCCAGCTCCCTCTACATGGCCTGGCTCGAGACCCTCTCACAGGACCTGAGACCGCCCATTATCCTCATCCGAGGCAACCAAGAGAATGTGCTGACCTTTTACTGCCAATAAAAGTCTCCTGGATCCCTGCTGACTTGGGATGTGAATTTGTCAGGCCAGTTCTGATCTTGGAGCATGCTTGCCTGGGGCTGGGGAAGCAGTGAAGGCATCTGTTTGCCAGCTCTTGGGAACTGCTCACTGCACACAGCTGCCATCCTCTTCCAAAGCCTTGTTTTGCCAACCTCAGTCTTTGTGGGCTGTATATAGATATAAAATAGTGCAGGTATTGCTCTGGCCCTGAGTTTAGCCAGAGCCATGCAGGTGAGGTGTGGGGTCCCACCTCAAGAGCGGGAAGGGGACAGTGAGACTTCCACTGCCCTGGGAGAGCCCGAGTGGTGTGCAGGGACTGACCCACAGCGCCGGCAAAGCCACCAAAGGTGTGAACTAGGAGGGCAGGAGTGGGTCACCACCAGCCCAGGGCCCTGCATGTCCACTCAGGGAGGGGAGCTCCTGGCCCCAAAACAGTCTGAGTACATCCTGACAGCAGAGCAGCAGCGGGATGTCATGTCAGGCTGCAGTGCCTGGCTGCGGGAGTGAGTCAAGCTCTTAATGGAGACAAAATTAACCATCAGAACCAGGATATTCCGGGTGCAGATGGCCCAGAGTGAGGCAGGAGCAGGGCTCATTTCCAACAGCACAAGCCAGGCCCCCTTGTCACGCCGCAGGAGAAACACACGACTTTGTTCACCTCAATGGTTACAGAATTTACTGATAATCACCACCAGGATTAGAAGTGTCAGTAGAAAAATAAAATTTACAGAGTTTCCTATTGTACAAAGATTTGTTTGTGATAGCCACAGTCATCAGTGAGACAGGAAGTGGGGTGGGAGCTGAATCAGAGCAGCACAGGGCATGTCTGCACAGAAAGAGCAGGGCCACGAGCCTCAGCCTCAGCAGCAATGTTTCTCCAGGCAGGCAGCTTCTCTGCAAGTTGTTATCTTGAGCGATGCTGGCCAGGGGCTCACAGCACTGCCTGAAACACCTCAGTACTGATGGTTTACAACTCTGAAGTTCTGGGCAAGCTTGACTGAGCGAAGTCTACTGCCACCTGCTGAAAACGGAAGGGATTCCTCTGCTCACCTTACAGCATATGGGAATGTAAAGACCAAGCTGATGGCAGTGAGAGGGGAGGAAGATGCCAGCAGTGACTGATTGAAGACTACTTCTCCTTGCTGTTTGGATCTGATTTTACTGGACAGGGAGGTGGGGAAGGCAGCGAGGGGAGCAGTGGATGCTCTCTAAGTACCAAAGAACACACTCCCAGTGCTAATGCTTGTCAAGGCAAGTCAGCAGCTGATTGTTCACCTCCGAAGCAAGAATTCCCTGCAAATTTCACAGTGCCTGGGCACAGAGAGGCACCACTGGCTCCAACCACTCAGATTCCAAAGAGTGGCCAAGCTGTCAACTCTTCAAGTAAAGCAGACCCCTTCCCTCTCCCCCAGACAGACGCTGGAGATCACAATGGGTAGAAACCAGGAGGGTTTCAGTTCACCCAGCACCAAGTGATTTTATTAAGCAATTATTGTTCTTAACAGCCCAGTTTGCATCCTGTGTGCTTCAGCCCATTACTGCAGAGGAACCAGCCTCGTGCCATCGCATGTGGCACACTGATAAAGTGCTTTCACAGCTGTCATCAGCTTAGTCTTTGATGCCAGGGTGAGGGAAAGGGAACCTAGAAATCAGGACACTGGTTTCTAGCTTCACCTGAAAGGTTAAGGCCAGAGCTGCCCACTCTCGTCCACACAGGAAAACAAAGAATTCAAGTGAGTAAAACCAGGCACTCTGGACATGTGCTGTGTGTGCAGCCATTTGCAATGGGGAGGGGAAAAAGATATCTAGAGAGATCATCAGTCCTGCTTTTTCACTGGGGGCAGAAGCAAAGAGGGAAGGAGAGGCCCAGCTTTCCCCGGATGGATGCCACGGTAGGAAGACAGGCTCTCTATAAACAGCACAGCACACAGGGCTCTCTGGAGATCCAGGGCTTAGAATTTGTTATACCACCTGTTCCTCACCCACCTAGGGAGAACAATTCACATTAAAGGCTTCCCTAAAATGCACAGCTTTATTCCCTGAATTAACATGGGATAAAATTCAGGGTAATCTCAGTAGGTAGCTCCTGAAAAACACCTCTTGCCACTGGCTGCCAACAGACCGCTCCTGAGAAATAAGTACATAGAGAGAAATTCTTCTTCACAATACACAGGATGCCCTGCTGAGAGTTTTTTCAGTAGAAAGGACACATGGCTCATGGAGGATACCTGGCCTTACAAAATGCTGCGGGTACAACAGGCGAGCAGGTTTAGTAACCAAAGGAGTTCAGCAAAAACACGGATGGGAAGTGCATTCTGCAAGGCTGGATACAGACGGTGTCTTCCTTTGGCAGCCCATGCCATGCCTGTGGCAATAACCAAAGGACCACAGCAGAGCCACGGGGCTGGCTACATCAATCCCCCATCCTTGGCACTCAACCTCAGCTTCCCCAAGCCACCCCAAGAGTCAAGCTCCCAGGAAGTACCCAGCCAGCTACTGGAGCGCCCCAGCCATGTGGCATGTCTCCTGGCAAAAGGGCAGATCTAAGACTTAGTTAAAAGTCACTTAAAACAAACCAAACTAAACCAATTCATTGTAAGAGACCATGCTGCCTGCTGGCAAGGGTTGGGCTGGGACATGGGAATCACTGGGGCTCCTCACAAGAGCCTTGCAGGAATCCCACCTGGCAGCATGCTGCAAGCTGGCTGCCTCTGCACCTGGGAAGCCCCAGATCCCAACAACCCAGCACCAACCAGCACAGTCACCTAAGAAGCAGCATGCTGAGTTTTATACAAGCTGGCCAGCAATGTTTTCATGTCAGCAAAGACACCCAATTCCACCACACCACTGTAAACATGATGAGAAAGTAAAAGAAGAATGGAGAAATTTAAAACTATGACTCTCCTTCAGAGCCTGGGAAGCAACAGTGAGCACACACACGTGCCATGGGATTCCCAGCGTGGGCAATGGGGTGTAGTGTCCCATCAGCTGTGCTCTGCTTCTCAGGCAGAAGGTACACAGTGCCTGAAGGGCTTCACTGTAATAAAATTCACAAAGGTAGCAATCCATTTTACATCAGTTATTTTCCCCACTGCAGTGTTCATAGTCACAGTTCTCAGCAACAAATTTGCACTTTATCAGTCTAAAATGATTTTTCCTTTTTCTGCTTCCAAATTCACTATGAGCAAGAGCTGGTATTCGGGCCAGGAAGAAAACAGATTTATTTTCTCATTTAAAAAATTCACATTAGAAGAATTCACTGCAAACAAAGCAGCAAGAAGTTGAAGCATTAAGTGAGCATCACTTCACTCTGTAGCACTGGTTCTACCCCACAACAGCTACTGTCACCTCTTAGCTGCGTTCTGTTGCTAGAATTCATCACTGCTAAAAGGTAGATGGGCCTTCTCCTCCAAAAGCCATTTAGTTTCCTATCCTCCAGTGAAATAAAAGTTTCACTTGGAACTTAATGTTACCAAAAAATAACAAAATCACCATTTTGTCATTTTAGCTTAATTTTAGCTACGCTGGAGGCAAGAGCAGGCCCTTGGGTTACCTTTATCCAGCAAAGAAAGCACACATCCAGTCACACCTCCCATTGCATTCCCTCTGATCTGTTTCAGAGGTGGCACAAGCAGCAGATCCTTTGCTCTTCCTTTGATTTCTCTAGTGTCTGAAGGAGAGCTAGAGAGTGGCTAAAATGCGTAGAAACGAAACCACCACCACGCAGAATGTCTGGCCCACTCCCAAAATAAGGGCTTCGAAGGGAATCATTTTTTTCCCTGCAGCTCTGTAAACTCCAGCAATGGCAGCACCTGCAGAGAGGGGGAAAAGCCAAAATATGAATGCGTGACAGCACATGAATGTGAGACATACGCTGTCATACCACAGGGATGAATCTAGGAGGGTGGGAGACTGGGAAAGATAACAAGGGGGCTCTGTGGGAGAGGGCCAGCAGAAGTGCTGGACTGGGTTTGTCACAATAAACCTCAGCTAGTAACCAGCCTGTGCTGGTAGGAACAGGTAAATTGGTGGTGAATATCTGCTAAGGCCTGCACAAGGTGTGGAGGTTGGGATGGTTTTGGACATACTTTTGTCAAAATCCTCTACACCACATCCCACAACTGTAAATAATACCCAGTTCTGGGCACAGGCATCAAACCTGTGCATGGTTTTTCTCTGAGTGCTCAGAAACCTGGAAGCCCACCTGGCTCTGCACCTGACAGGTGGGTTTGGAAGCCCTGACAAAGGGCTCTATGTTGGTATGGTCCAACTCTTCCAAACACAGAATCATAGAATGGTTTGGGTTGGAATGGACCTTCAATGGTCACCTAGTCCAAAACCCCTGCAGGGAGCAAGAACACCTTCTACTAGATCAGGTTGCCCAGAATCACATCCAGCCTGGCCTTGAATGTCTCCAGGGATGGCACATCCACCACCCTTGGGCAACCTGGGCCAGTGTTTTACCACCATCGCTGTAAACAATTTCCTCCTCACCCTCCCTCTTTTAGTTTAAAACTCTCCCTCTTTTAGTTTAAAACTGTCAGCCTTCATCCTGCCACAACAGGCCCTGCTAAAAAGTCTCTCCCCATCTTTTTATAGGCCTCTATTGAGAACTGAAAGGCTGCAATCAGGTCTCCCCAGAGCCTTCTGAGGCTGAACAACCCCAACTCTCAGTCTTTCCTCACAGGAGAGGTGCTCCATCCCCTGATCATTTTTGTGTTTCTCCTCTGGACCCTCTCTTTCCTGTACTGAGGACTCAGCCCATCTCCATACGGGAGGTGCTCCAGTCCTCTTATCATCCTCGTGGCCCTCCTTTGGACTTGCTCCAGCAGCACCATGTCCTTTTTATGTTGAGGACACCAGAACTGGACACAATACTCCAGGTCAGGCCTCACAAGAGCAGAGTAAAGGGGCAGGATCACCTCCTTTGACCTGCTGGTCACGCTTCTTTTGATGCAGCCCAGGATACGGTTGGCTTTCTG